AGACACAGAAAACAGATTAGTGGTTACCAGAGGGGAAGGCAGTTATGGGGTGGGTGTGAAATGGATGAAGGCGGGGTTGGGGGGGGTCAACTGTATGGTGATGGATGGTAACTAGGCTTGTAGTGGTGAACAACTTATAGTGTACACAGATGTCAAATTATAATTGGCCCTATATAAGTTTCAGGATGTACACCTAAAACTATATAATAAAAAAAAAGAAAATACTTCCATCTAGCATAGCATAAAAAAATAAAATACTTAGGAATAAATCTAACAAAAGATGTATAAGACTTATAAACTGAAAACTACAAAAAAATTGTTGGAAGAAATTAAAGACAATCGAAATAAATGGAAAATTTCCAATGTTCATAGACTGAAAGACTTAATAGTGTTAAGATGGAAATACCAATCTACAGATTCAATGCAATCCCTATAAAATCCCAGCTGGCTTCTTTGTAGAAGCTGAAAAACTGATCGTAAAATTCATATGGAAATAAAATAAATCTTTAATGGCCAAAAGAATATTAAAAAACAACAACTAGGAAGATTCACACTTCCTAATTTCAAAATTTACCCCAAAGCTACAGCAATCAAGACAGTGTGATACTAGCCTATGGACAGACATACAGATCAATGGAACAGAAATGAGAGTCCAGAAGTGAACCCTCACATTTATGATCAATTTACTTTCAACAAGGCTATCAAGACTTTCAATGGGAAAAAAAAAAAAATGGTGCTGGGAAACTGGACAAACACATGCAAAAGAATGAAGCTGGGCTCCCACCTCACACCATATACAAAAATGAACGCAAAATGAATCAAAGACTTTAATGTAAGAACCAAAAGCATAAAACTCTTAGAAGTAAATATGTGTAAATCTTCATGACCCCGAATTTGGAAATAGGTTTCTTATATACAACACAAAAGCACAAGCAACACAAGGAAAAAAAGATAAAATGGGCTTCATCAAGACACTTTTAAGAAGTGAAAAGACAATCCACAGAATGGTAGAAAATATTTTCAAATCATGTATCTCATAAGAAACTTGTACCTAGAATATATTTAAAAACTTACAACTAACAATGAAGAGACAAATAACCCAATTAAAAACTGGGAGAAGGACCTGAACTGACGTTTCTCCAGGGAAGATATACAAATGGCCAACAAGCACTTGAAATAGTGCTCAAAATAATCAGTCATCAAGGAAATGCAAACGAAAACCACAAGGAGATAGACCACTTCACACCCTCTAGGATGGCCATAATCAAATATCATATAATAACAAGTGGATTGTTGGTGAGGATGTATAGAAATCAGAATCCTTATACACTACTTGTGGGAATGTAAAATGGTGAAGGTACTTTGGAAAAGAGTCTGACAGTGTCTGAAAAGTTTAAACATGGAGTTACCATTTGACCTAGCAATTCCACTCCCGGGTATATGCACCCAAGAGAAATGAAAACATGTACATGCAAAAACTTGTACACAAATATTCACAGTATTATTCATACCAAAAGGTACAAACAGCCAAAATGTCCATCAACTGATAGATAAAATGTAGTATAGCCATACATACAACTGGACATTATTTGGACATAAAAGGGGATAAAGTACTCATGCTACCACATACGTGAAAATATTTATGCTAAGTATAAGAAACAAGAGAAAAAAAGGCCACATATTGTTTGATTCTGTTTGTATGAAATACCCGGAATAGGCAAATCCATAAACAAAAAGTAGACTAGTGGCTGCCTGACTGGGGGAGGGCAGCAGGCAGATATGAATGGGGTTTCTTTTTCGGGTGATGAAAATTTTCTAAAATTACTGTGGTGATGGTTGCAAAACTCTGAATATACTAAAAATCAGTGAATTTGTAAACTTCAAATAGGTCAATTTTATTGTATGTGAACTGCATCTCAATAAAGCTATTAAGAAAACAACAAAGATACTGGGGGTAAGCTGCTGACGCTAAGTGGTAGAGGCCAAGGACACTGCCAAATATCCTGTGATGCACAGGACAGCCCCTAGAATTACGCAGCCCAACATGTTGGTGATGCAGTTCTTTGCTGTGGGGGGCTGTCCTGTGCACTGAAGAGTGTTCAGCAGTGTCCCTGGGCTCCACCCACATTAGGTATCAGTAGCACACCCACCAGGCTGACAACCAAAACATTTCAGGACATTGCAGAATGTCCCCTGGGGGACAAAATTCCCTCCCCCGCCCCACCTTGAGAAGCACTGCTCAAGAGGAAGAGGACTTTCCAAACTGCTTGTAAAACAATAGGTGAACTTCCACAATAGAAATAAAGATCAGCAAATCTGGTTACATTAAATTTTAGCTTCTTTATGTTTTAAAATAAAATCTCATTAGAAAAGCAAACATAAGAAAAGAAAACATTTAACACTGCCTAATGCTGGTGAGGGCACAGTGAACCTTTCACACACTTTGGTAACGGCCATACAAATTGATGTTTACCAGAATAACAAAATGTTCTTACCTTTTACCCATTAATTTATTCTGAGAATTTATGAGACAGAAATCCTAAGTAAAGCTATGTGTACAGAGATATACTTTTTTAACTGCAAAAACTTTGAAAATCAAAGTTCAGTTGGAGGTATGATTTTGATAAAAGACTATGCTGTCATTAAAAAGAAGATATTGAAGACTACACAATAACACATTGATTGTGAAATTGCTGGGGGGGAAAAACCCAAAATATTTATGGTCAAAATTCACAATTTAAAATGCTGGAGACATTTTTAAAATACTTTTTGACACTTGTACTATATCCTAAGCTAACTGCAAAAGACAATTTTATTTTCATGGTACCTGACATGGATTATTCTTTAAGACTTGGAAGTTTTCAAAACTATAATTGTTTATCAGCCTTAACCTCTTTGAAATCCTTCGAGAGTTAAAATGCAGCCCTTAGCTAAAAACAGGACTCACTGCTGATTAGAAATATGCAAATTTTAAAACGCCCTCCAGAGTAATCACAAATATGTGACCAAAATGATTTGAGAAGGATTTCCCATAGTTGTACAGTTTTTCTCACTATACTAAGTTCTGACAACTTAAACTCAATTTTCTGCAGTTTAATTCAATTCTCAAAAACAGATGGTAAACATTCCTGTTGCGTGCTCAAAGATTAACACTAAAGAGATGTCAAAGGTTCACATGTAGATGAATGCATTCTCACTGCCTTCTTTAAAAATGCAATTTCCAAGCTTTATAAAATAAAATACCAACAAGTGCTTAACACCTTTAAGATGGAAATTTTGGATCAATATTGGAGAGATTTTTTTTTAAGTCTATGCCTCTTATGAAAACTGAGAAAGCCAGTGAAAGCCCAGTGATAGCTTAAGAGGAACAAATTCTGTAAGGAATTCTGTAAGGAACAAATTCTGTCCTCAGTACTTGCTCTTAAGACAGTGTTACAAAAGCACTACTCTATTCTCATTCACATACATGTTCTTTATTATTTCCGACATTTTATCTCATCTTTCTTCTCTGTCACTCTTGCCTAAATGAGTAAGAAGAATTTTGGCAAATGTTAATTTAAATAACCTACAAAAATTACTGGTAGGCACTGCTACATGTTTTCATATGAATCAATCACTATCAAAAAAAATCAATAGAAAAAAATCAACTGCAGAAAAAAAATCGATAGCAGTACCACTGCAATCAAATAAAGCATACTACAGACATTAAATAATTGTTTTGTTTGTTTGTTTGTTTGTTTTAATGTAAATGACACTTTTTACTATTCAGGTACTATAGGTCTCTTTCCCGAAGTGGGGATCTGCCCAATTGGCAAGGAGACTGGGTGTACCAATGGTAGGAACAGAGTACAGAAGTTCTGTTAGCCATCCTCAGCCACTCCCCTCTAGATATTATCATTTGTCCCTTTTAGTTTATGAAACCTGCTGCCAAAAGAAGAAAGTGTCAATCAGTTATACCTAACACTGACTTTTTTCAATATTTTATTATTCACAATTATTACTAATTTACAAATAATTATGGGTCAAAACTAAATAAACATAAAGTGATATAGGTTTAACTAAAATTATTTTAGCATTTTTAATAAAATCTTTTCCTTATCCACTAGTAACTTTCAAAAACTGACTATAGAAATGAACACAAGATTTTAGACCTTAAGAAATAAGAAGCAATGCTTGGAAATAGAAGTATAATTATTTTCTATTAACTTTTAATTTTCTAATTATCTCTCTAATATAAAACCAAGTCTATTTCCTAATTTTAAAAAGCAGAAAGTGATTCTCTTCATTCGAAAACTAGCTAAAACTACATTAAAATGTAGCTTATTAGTTAAAACTAACAGTGCCAAATGACATGTTACTGTTGCAGTAACCATTTTCCACGCTCTAACTTTATTTTATTTTATTTTATTGTGGTACGCGGTCCTCTCACTGTTGTGGCCTCTCCCGTTGCGGAGCACAGGCTCCGGACGCGCAGGCTCAGCGGCCATGGCTCACGGGCCCAACCGCTCCGCGGCACGTGGGATCTTCCCGGACCGGGGCACGAACCCGTGTCCCCTGCACCAGCAGGTGGACTCTCAACCACTGCGCCACCAGGGAAGCCCCAAGCTCTAACTTTTAAAGCAAGCATAACGAATTTAAAAATCCAAAGTCATACCATAAAATAATGGATAATTAATCATGAAATAGTTAAATATAGACCTCTGGTGACAAAAGGTCAAACTTAAAATCCCACTACAAAAGTATACCCATTAAAAACAACAATCTTTATTTTAGTGCTTTTATAAACCCTTTACTCGGTAAATTTCAGATTGATATTTCCTTTGGTACTACTTATAGTACATGCATACAATTTCAGTTCATCTATTATTAGACTAAGGTGCACACTATTACTAGAATAGAGAAAATGATTGAATCATAGCATATTATTTACATGGAAATCTTTCTGTAATAATTAAGTTAGTAAAAAGACTACAGCAAATTGAATAAAGACCAAATTTTACCTTTTCTGTATTGTAATATAAAGATTTCAAAGTAGTAAACAAGGGTGGGCAGCCTTTACTGAAGTTAACCCTCAGGAACTTATCCATTAGTTCTCTAAATTTTTCACCTAGAAACAAAAGTGTACTTTGTTATACTTCGACTGATGCAAACAGTTCGCAAAGTTATTTCATAAATAAAAATAAAACTCCTTCAGAGACAATGATTCCCCTATCCAATGTTTAAACCCAAAAAGTCAGTCAGCATTATTTGTTACCGCCAAAAAGCATAACACCAAATATCTCGGTTTGGTTGGCAAGTGTATTTTCTCTAGATGCAGATTCAAAATATCTTCAAGGAACACTTCAAAAGATAGGTAAAAAAAATGACTGTGCAGCTTTGAAGAAAAGTAACCTACTATCTATTCTGAATACAGTCCCCATAGGAAGTACCTTTCCTAATCTCACTGACCAGCAGAGGCTCAATGCTACTATCTCAATCCTACATCTCAGAAGGCACTCTGCAAACTATATAAGGATTCTGCTGTAACCAGCACTATATTTAAGTAGCAGTCAAAATATCTTTTTAAACGCTAACACGGTATTTACAAATGTTTTCCGAATCAACTAGTGATTTATTTCAACAGTCATTCATTCCACAATCTATCAAGCACCTACTATGTGCCAGGCATTGTTCCAGGTATTCAGGATATAGCCGTGATTAAAACAAAAAAAATTTTTTTAATTCTGCCCTCATGGAAATTATTAACATTCTAGTGGGTGAGATAGACAATAAGTAAAATAACATCCATAAGACATCAGACAGAGCCCTAAGGCATGCTAACATTAGAATTAAATAAATACCCTATTTGTAACATCAAGTAAATAAATCTCCTATTATTGCTAAACCCTTACCAAAAAGTTTCAGTGTCACTTTTTAAAAGCAGAAAAAAATTGAAAAAAATTAATTTTAAATACAAAAGCTCTAACTTTTTGATAATAAGGGTTAATATGTAAGGACATGGATTTGCCCACTCAAAAGAAAAAAAAAGATACATATGTGTCATGAATGTTTTAAGCTAAAGTAAGACTACTGAAATGACCTTTCCAAGGGTTTCTTTATGAATCACATTTTACCAAAATACTCAACAACCCAAGTGGTTATTTTTATTTGTTGTGACTGACACTACTGAACAAAACATGCATACTCAACATATTACAGATGTCATAAATATTAAGAGGAGAAATTTAAATTTTATTGAGTGAAAAATTTATTAATATAAAAACAGGATCAACATTTGTTAGCTCAACTTACTACAAAGACTGTTTTCAGATGATCTCTAATCTTTATAACAGAGGAAGTGCTGGAAAGATCTGATCTCTAAAACTCCTTTTGAATTTTAAGGAAGTAATCATGTATATTCAACCCAGAGTGGTATTTTGTGTTCCTTCGGTATACTTTGTATATAATCTTTCGAAAACCACAGATTATCAGGACTGCACAAAATTTCACTCTGGGTTAAATATACATCATTACTTCCTTAAAAATCAAAAAGTTTCAGAGATCAAATCTTTCCAGCACTTTCTCTGATATAAAGCAAAGGTTAACAGTATTGTGGCAGGCAGTCAGGGATGTTGTTGCTTACTTCGTGTAACACTGTCCACTAAAAACCTCAATTTCTCCACTGTAAGATGACGGTAACACCACCAGCCTCAAGAGTACTCTTTCACGACTCACACAAGATGAAAAGTAAACAGCATAAGCACACAGTAACCACTCAATAAATGTTGTCTATTATTTACACCTTGACATCTGATAGCTACTGTATTTCTATAGCTAAGAATGTTTTCCACATTTGCTATCACCATCTCCTGAGAAAACATGCCTTTTATCTTCATGTCAGAGGCTACTCTGAACTCCTCTTCAACTTCCTCAATCTATTTAGATCATAGTGGCAATTTTACTTAAAGGACAATGTACTCAGCTCTCAAGTATCCACTATATTACAAGCCTCTTCTCCCATTAAACTTTTATTTCAACTGTGCAGCTAGCTATGATAAAGAATGAGGAAGGTCTTACATACCGATATAGGACTGAATTCCAGATACAGAGTTAAGTGAAAAGGAAAACAAGGTGCAGAACAACCTATGTCACTTTTGTACAAAAGGGGGAGGAAAAAGGAAAACTATACATAAACCCTCAAACACATACTTTTGCTTGTATATGCACAATGTGTTTCTGGAAGAGTTAAACCATCTACTAGTAACAATGGCTGTCTCTGGGGAAGTAAACTTGGTGGCCAGAGGACAGAGACACAGAAATGACTTTTCAGTTAAAACCTGTTTTGCACCCTTTTATTCAGAACTGTATGAATGCACTGTCTAAACCAGAAGCCTACAGAGCTACTCAACGGCTCAGTCACACACTATATCCCAAAATTACTTACTATTTACCCATCTTATAATTTTTTTCTTTACATATAAGAAAAACTGTTTCACAAAAATAAATAACCTCCCTTCTTCCTATTTTAAAATAATTCTTTAGTACCCCCGTAGTCTTTCCTTTAGGGGGGAAAAAAAGCTATCAATCATTACGTGCCTGACTCAGCCATAAAAAAGGAACAAAACTGGGTCATTTGTAGAGACATGGATGGATCTAGAGACTGTCATACAGAGTGAAGTAAGTCAGAGAGAGAAAAACAAATATCGTATATTAATGTATATATGTGGAACCTAGAAAAATGGTACAGATGAACCGGTTTGCAGGGCAGAAATAGACACAGATGTAGAGAACAAACATATGGACACCAATGGGGGAAAGTGGGGAAGGGCTGGTGGTGGTGGGATGAACTGGGAGATTGGGATTGACATATATACACTAATATGTATAAAATGCATAACTGATAAGAACCTGCTGTATAAAAAAATAAAATTCTAAAATTAAAAAAAAATCATTATGTGCCTGTTTAGCACTGCAGCTTGTAAAACAAGTTATCTGACTACAGAGATGCTATGCTAATTCTTCACTAGAGGTAGTACAGATTCACATAAAAACTGATATCCCAAAAACCACCGCTAAAATAATGAACATAAATAGCAAGATCAGACTGTATCTGATAACCTGGGAATTTACTCTAAATAATGGTGCATGTTTTCACTACAAAAAAGAAATGAGGGCTTCCCTGGTGGCGCAGTGGTTGAGAGTCCGCCTGCCGATGCAGGGGACGCGGGTTCATGCCCCGGTCCAGGAGGATCCCACATGCCGTGGAGCGGCTGGGCCTGTGGGCCATCGCCACTGAGCCTGCACGTCTGGAGCCTGTGCTCTGCGGCGGGAGAGGCCACAATAGTGAGAGGCCCGTGTACCGCCAATAAATAAATAAATAAATAAATAAAAGAAATGATAATCATGTGACCTAATGGAGGTGTTAGCTAACACTACAGTGATAATAATACTGGAATATACAAATGTATCAATCAATACATCATACACCTTAAACTTACACATTGTATGTCAACTATATCTCAATAAAAAATAAAAACAATCCAATGAAACAAAAATAAAATAGGAGCAAAATGTGATTAGCACTCTCGTTTAATACTCTGGATTATCTCCTTCCCTCTTTCTCCCTCCTTGGCCAGTGAAGACTAATAGATCACGATGAATTAAACTAGTTATTTTGAAAAGTACTGTTTTCACAGCACTTAATATATCAGGCTGTTGGAGAATCTCCCCAGGACTTTGGCTGTTCACTAATCTGTAGGTAATAAACATTTTTATCTAAAAACCACTAAGCCTTTTTCAAAACTTGCATTCTCAAGTTCCATCATGTTTCTCGAAAAAGATCTTATTGCCTTTGATAATGCTAAGATACCTTTCTTATTACACATAAAAATATTTCTAAACATGCAAAAAAACTTCATGAAGTATTCAGCTGTTGCACAGGTACAATTAAGTAGTTGCACAATTTTACATATGGTCCCCAGAGCTTTGTAAATACACTATGTTAGAACCTCAAATGATGCTGACCTTGAAGCCCAAGCCGTCAAGACCCCTCAACTGAGGCCTAGCTTGTAAAAAGATCCTTTTAGCATTTCAAAGACAATGTCCTAGAGGGTCCAGAATGATTCCACTTTTATCCAAATCACACTTTACATTCAAAAACTGGCTCCAGGTTATCTTTCAGTAAAAATATACTTCCTACCTTATACACAAAAGGTCACCTACGGTATGACTCCAATTATACAAAATGTCCAAAACCAGCAAGTCCACAGGTACAGAAAGTTAGGTTAGTGGTTGCCTGGTGCAGGGGTTGGGGGCTGGGAGTGACTGCTAATGGACATGAGTTTTCTTTTTGGAGTGACGAAAATTTCCTGAAACCAGGGAGTGATGATGGTTGTGCAACTCCCTGAGCACATTAAAACACTGAGTTGCACACTTTAAAAAGTGCATTTTATGGTATGTGAGTTATATTTCAACAGGCTGCTATTTTTTTAAAAAACGAGATACAGAAATGTGAGCTCGAGCATCTTCCAGAAAACGCTTTTACTAGGGAAATGCTCCCCTCTGCACAGTACATCCCACCTTGGAAATTCACAACTCATATCTGAAAGTTCTAGGAAGTCCTGCAGAAGCCTGATTGTTGTGTTTAACCAAAAGTTTCCCAAACTCATTTGAATGAAGAACATCTCAGTACACAGGCATCCTCCCCATCAAGCCTATTAACATCCACTGGGACTTAATGTTCCCTGGAAAACATTAGGAAATCTGCCTACTTCACAAAGCCAAAACAAAACAGGGAGAATCAGAATACTATTATCATTTACATAAATGAAAGGCACTATTTATTTATTTTTAAATAAATTTGTATCTACTGTCTAACCCAGTACCCTTCTAAGAGGTATTTCATGTATTTTTAAAGTCAGTCAAATAAAAAGCTTTTAATTTCCATTAATCTTTTGATAAAAAGAAAATAACACAATTATTTAAACAAATATTTCCATTGTAAATGAGAATTCATTAGAAAATATACTACCCCCCTTGCCCCATGCCTAGAATAGAGATTTTTAAGTTATATTAGCATTCTAGGGTCTGACTTGTATCAAAAGACATGCCAGGAGTCCCAATAAATAATTCATAATGTATAGCACTTACAACTAAAAATAAAAGACGACTTTAAGAAAAAGGCACAATTTTGCATAAAATCATCAACAAAGTCATTAACTGAAGAGCTAATATACTCTTTACCTCCTATAAGCTCAACAGCAAATGAGTTCAGCTACATGCTACAACTCAGATCAAGGTCATGAATATACTATTGTTCGATAGAAGCAAATCACAGAATACATACCACAGTGCTCCAATTTACATAAAGTACAAAAGCAGGGTTTTGTTTTTACTTCTAGGGATACAAAATACATGCAGCTCTACAAAAACAATAGCATGATAAAAGGCAAATTTCAAGAATGCAATCAACTCTGAGGAAAGAGGGTGTTATTCACAGCATTGGTGATATTCTTTAACACTGTGGTGGGCACAAGGAGCTCACAACTTTTTCTTTGAATTTATGTCCTAAAAAGAAGATCCAGAAGGTCAAAACTTCTACCACTTAAATCACAATACCTCACATATAATTTGTCATCAATTCTAAGGAATTTAATTTACCTTCTAAATATGCTGTTTACTTTTTAAAGTCACATAAGAAAAACAATTTTATATAAATAACTTCTGACACTTAAAACCAACATAAAGCTAACAATGTAAATACTCTTAATGACATACACATAACAAATAAATAACTGATCACTCCCACCCCCAAGACTGGTGTAGATGTAAACTCTATTCCAGAAACAAGCTTTTAAAATGTGAATGGTGTTGAGGAATTTCAACAAGTAATTATTAGTGTTACAAAAGATATCCTAATATTACCTGGGACAAGATTCAAAGGTAATCTTCTAGGTGACATTGCTCTGGGGTGCTGCTTACTAATTTCTTCATAAATTTGAAGCCTCTCTTCTAAAGTGCCTATTATCAGTAAATATGCGTCAGATTCAAAGCATCAAAACTTTTATCTATGATAAAATGCTAATAAACTTAAAAAAGTATGTTATAAATTAAAAATCACATTATCAATATTAAAGCTGCTCTCAATTTTTGTAAGAATGACATTAAAAACTCTGTGGCAATGAAATAATCATTAAATCACCATTTTAAACCCAAAGTCCAGAGAAAACCAAAATGTCACCACAACAGATCCTACATCCAACTCAAATCATATACACACAAGACAGACTCAAGATACACTGCACTTCTCTGATATTCCTGCATGCACAACCCACGAAAAAGAAAATGTTCCTTTCTAACGTATCTAACATAAATCCTCTAACCCAATATAACCCACATAAACCCAACAAAAGTCTATAACGCCTATTGATAAGCTTAAAGAAGCAATAGTTTTAGGGTCATGAATGCAATATTTTAAAAGATGAACTAAGTTTCTAAGGAGGTTTGACACTTAAAATCTTCAATGAAACTCTATTACAAAGAACTCCATTAGTTCATATCCCTGTCCAGGTACCAAAAAAAAGAACCCCATTAGAACAGACTTTGAAAGTGGCAATTACTTCTCCCAAATATTATGATATAAAATATACTTCTAACAGAAAGTTATATCTTCCCTGTCAAGACCAACCTAATTTTATAGTACTAAATACAGGATCTATATGCAAACTACATTAACGATCTGCAGAATCGGATCTGGGTCTAGTTTATTATTCTAAAATAATATCCAGCATAATTTACAAAGAGAGATTACATGCATTATTTTACATAAGCAATAAGATAACTTACAGCAGAATTTTTAAGAAAAAGCAACCCATTTTTAAACTATAAGGTTCTAGGTGGATTTTAATTCGGACCACAGAAATATAATTATTATAAAAATAACCCTTGGTGCTAGCAATCAGGCCACCGTAAATGTAGTGTTCAGTATCAAGATTATAAACACAGCATTTTAAAAAGTAAAGTTCGATTTTGTTTAGACTCCTTCCTTCCCCCAGTAATACATTTTGGAGCTCCAATGTGGTTGAATTTTAAAAACTGGGATATGTGAAAAATTATTTTCACGTTTTGTTAATGATTTGGAGACTTCATGAAATATTAAGGACCCTTATACTAAAATTTACAAGAAGCCTGTTGCATATTTTTAAAAAGCAGTTCTTATATTTATACCTAATCTTAGAGAATGAGACGAACTATGAGTATAAAAAATATTTTCCCACTAACCCAGATAAAACAAGTCTTATAAATGTAGTTACATTAAGACAAAAACCAAACCATTTCAATGCCCTATTTGAAGTCACAAGTTGGAGCTCCAGAACCTACCACAGGGGAGAAAAGGTCCTAAGGAAGCTAAAAAAATATTTTTATAATCAATATATTTTATAGTAAGCATGGATCCTGATATATGGAACATATTACATTCATTTTACTAAAGCAGTTAAGTGATTAACATGCCAGTAACTGGTAGTTTAAAGAAAAATCAGTTATCTCACATTTCCAACCTTCAGACACATGACTTTTGTCCTGTTTTTTTTTAAAGACAGATTATTGATCTAATCAATATTTTAATTTTCATTATTTTCTTAAAAACAATTATTTAAGGAACTTTTAATAATTTGTGATATAAAATTTTAAATACACACAGAAAACCTGGATTCATGTATACAAGTAATTAAGATACAACAAATAAATTTTTCTCATAGCTCTTCCTACTATAAATGAATATGGGTACCTACCTACTTACCATACTTTTTAAATTTAAAAATTCTGCTGTTTCAACACGTTTGAGTTTCGTAATTATTTCACATAAGTTTCATAATTATTTCAGACATATACTTACCCATGACTAAATATGATTTTAGCAATATTAAAGATATTTAATTATGAGAATATTAGCGAAAATTTAGAATAATATTCTAGATTTCTGAAAAGGGTCAAGGTTATCGAATTTCAAAAGAAGATGTATACAATTTATTCTACACAAATTAGCCTAGTTTGAAAGTAAAAGAATAGTTTTTATGCTGATGCTATATACACTGTACTCTCAGCAACATTTCTTTGGCCCAATTCTTATTCTTAGATATTGACAGTGACAGTCCTCTAATTCTTTAAAAATAGTAAATAATTATGACATTTCCCAGAAAGGGAATGCCCTTTTTCTTCCCCACCACTCTAGTTAGTGTAAATTGGTAACATTTTAATGGATCAAGAAACCTAAAATAATCTGTAAGCATTTATCACTTAAATATAAATATCTGAATTCATTTTCACTCCCATGTTTAACCTGTAATGTTCCTAAATGGAAACATGAATGCTAAAACTAAAAATATGCATCCTCAAATATTCTTACAACTTTATATTTTACTATACTTCGAACACTAGCTAAGGGCTTCCCTGGTGGCACAGTGGTTGAGAATCCATCTGCCAATGCAGGGGAGACGGGTTCTATCTCTGGTCCGGGAAGATCCCACATGCTGCGGAGCAACTAAGCCCGTGCGTCACAACTACTGAGCCTGCACTCCAGAGCCCGTGAGCCACAACTACTGAAGCCCACACGCTTAGAGTCCGTGCTGCGCAACAAGAGAAGCCCCTGCTCACCGCAACTAGAGAAAAAGCCCAGGCGCAGCAACAAAGACCCAACGCAGCCAAAAATAAATAATTAAAAAAAAAAAAACAAAAAACACTAGCTAAGAGAAGGTAGGAGAAAAATCATTACATACTAAGTTGTAGAGCTTTTTCCAAGCCTTCATAGTAACACCAATTTTCTGCATTCCGATCAATCAAGTTTTTGAATACTTCGCTCGCTTCTTTTAATCGTCCCAATTTCAACAGCATTTCCCCTAAAATTAAGTTTAAATGTCACATTCATTTTGCTTAAACATTAAATACCTTTCTAATTCCAGAGATTTCACTAAGCATTATTAGTATAATAGATGTTTATGAAAGACAACTGTATGGTGCTTCCCTTTAGGGCTTGCTGCAGTTTAAATAACTAAACATAGATTAATTCACAGCTTGTCACAGAAATGAACCTTCATTTACACATTCTGTTATACTAACATTCATTTTTGGCTCCCTCCCACACCATATATATGATATTAACTTGTTAGTAAAAAATCTTTGCATTATGCACACTTTTGTGCACCCTTTAAAGTAACTAAAGTTACCTTATATATAGATTGGTAAATAATTCTAATGAAATATCCCTGCCTTCCTACTGCAGGATTTTTAACGTATTTTTCCTAATCAATTCTTATGTTAAACAATTCTCCATTCAATTTTCTTACTGTCCTTTCCAGGTCACTAAAACTGGAGAAGTTTAAGTCACAAAACAATAACACCAAATACCACTTCGCAGCAAGAAACTACACAAACGATGTTCACGTGTGGGTCACCTCTAAGACTCAATTTCTTTTACTAAGCCATACAAATTGCAAGTGGGTATGGGAAATGAGAATCTAAATTTCTCAGATAGGGACCTCCCTGGCGGTCCAGTGGTTAAGACTCCACACTTCCACTGCAGGGGGCGCGGGTTCAAATCCCTTGTGGGGGAACTAAGATCCTGCAAGCCGCACGGCGCAGCCAAAATAAATAAATAACAAACTTTTCAGATAAAATGGAAAGCACACCTAATCAAGATAAAAGGGAGAATCTCAAAAAATATATCTCAACATTCTATCCCTAAGCTTTCCCATTCCCTACAGAATCTGTTTCAAACAACCCTTTGAAATGTCTTCAGTCATACATACTATTTCAGCTTTCATCATCATCATATTACAGTGATTATTATATATATCATTTTACTATTTATTTTATTATATTGTATATTACTCAAGCTCTACAGTAAGACTAACTAGGTGTAACTACCAGTTTTACCACTTTCTAGCTCTGTGACTGAATAACTTACAAAACTTCCAATTTCCATTTCCTTACCTGCAAAATATCAACTACATCAGTCTGTTTTTATGATAATCGACTGAAATAACGTACTTAAAACGGTCAGCACACTACTTGGTACAAAGTGAACACACATAAACATTTACTAGTTAAAACCATAAACAGTACATTAAACTTAAACTATACTTGAATTCAAAAAATAATAAAAGGAGAAAAAAAGAACCATGATCGTGCCCCATTCCTCCACAAGAGCAGAGGATAGCAGTTAAAAGGACTCATGAAAAGACATGAAAGAACCTTAAATGCATATTGCTAAGTGAAAGAAGCCAATCTGAAAAGGCTACATACGGTATGCTTCCACCTTTAATACATTCTGTAAAAGGCACAACTATGGAGACAGTAAAAGGACTACTGGTTGCCAAGGGTTGGGGGCAAGGGGAAACAGGCAGAGCAGAGGATTTTTAGGGCAGTGAAACTACTCTGTATGATACTATAATGGCAGTATGTAAAATGTCATCATACATTTTTTAAAACCTAGAAGGTATACAACACCAAGAATGAGCCCAAATATAAACTACAGGCTTGGGGGAATGGGGGGTGCAGGTAGGAGGAACTGTGCATGGGCAGGGACAGAGGGTATATAGGAAATCTTTGTACCTTCCACTCAGTTTTGCTGTGAAGCTAGAACTGCTCTAAAAAATAAAGTCTACTTAAATTAAAAAAAGTAAAGGCTCTGAAGTCAGAAAGATATTTTTAGAAATTAACTCTACCTCCTGAAAGGCTGGGCAACTTGGGCAAGTCCTTAACCTCTCTTAGTTTCTTCAAATATAAAAAGGGACAATAAGTAATACCCATGTTAGAGGTGCTAAAAAATTAAGTGAAATTAAGCAGTTTAAGCAATTACCATACTGTGAAACACAGAAGAGTAAATAAACCTTAGCTAGTATTTTTAAGCTTTAGAAGTCCTGCAACTACATGAGATTTTAGTTTTAAACTAATTATTTACTTAGATGGACATTCTATTTAATACAGTGTTGCTCAGGAAATGGGTAATTGATTGAGCAAAGCTATGTATAAAAAAGAAAATTTGTTTGACTTTGTTGAAAATCATTCTTAACAAACTATTTCTCAGAATCCTGTCTTCTTAATTAGCCCATAATGAAAATAAATGAATCTTGCTTTCATGAGGATCCCAAGTGTCATTTACTCTTCTCATTTTACTATATATGGAGATAAATACTGGGGGAGGGGGTTGAATATGAAGGCAGTATAACATACTGCTTAAGAAAATGGAATCTGGAGTCAAAATCCCTGCACTCAAATCCAGCACTACCCAGATTACTTAGCTGTGTGACTCTGGGCAAGTCACTTACCTCTCTGTTCCTCAGTTCCTGATCTCTAAAATGGATGTAACAACTACATCATAGGTTTGTTATGAAGATTACATTAATTTCATTATTAAACCATTACATTAATTAATAATGGCTTAATAATAAAGTGTTTAGAACATTGCCTGATATATAGTAAGTCTCATTTAAGTGTTTGGACATAATAAAGTATAAAGGTTTTATTCTTTTCTTTAACTGAGGCCAATAAAAAAGAAAAAGCAGTTCAATTTACCTTTAATTTCTTCCACCAAAAGTTTATCACATATCTGTTTCTCATATGTTTCTATATGTTCCAAAGATTCCTGAAATAGATCTGCCTCCCTCATCACTTGATTCTGGTACAGTATCAGTTCACTATATTCATAGTCTATTTTGTTGGGAGGAACCTGAAAAAAATAACCAAATTATTTTACTTATATAATAATATAAAGCAGTTACAGGTCTTTAATTTAATTGCTTTCTCAGGACAGTCATTCACACAGACTTTAAAAAGCAACCCACAAGCAGTTACAAATAGAAGAGTGATTAACAGCAAAGAAGATTAATATATTCTTTAAAACAAATAAAGGAGTGGAGACTTCTGCCTACAGCAAAGTGCAGAGGTTAGCAAATCCTATTTCCAAAGGAAAGTATAAAAATGATTAAAATCCTAAAGAATCTTCCAAAACAAACTACTAGAACCCATAAAGGAGTTTAGCTAAGTGACAGAATACAAGATCAATATATGAAAATCAATTATACTTCTATATACTAGGAATGAACAACCCGAAAATGAAAGTAAAATAATTTTCACAATAGCATCAAAACGAACAAAACATTCAGGAATAAATTTAAGAAACAAGACCCATATACCAAAGAATACTCAATCTTTTTTTGACTCTATATTTATTCTCCCCAAATTGATCTAAAAATTCAATGCAATCCCTATCAAACTCTCAGCAAGCTTTTAGAAACTGATAAGCTGATGCTAAAATTCAAATGGAAATAAAAGGAACCCTGCATGGACAAAAGAATCTTAAAAAGAAAAAGTAGGAAGACATGTACTTCAAATTTCAAACATCCTTTAAAATTACAGTCATCAAGACAGTGTGGTTGGTATTGGCATAAGGATACACACATAGATCAATGGAACAGAATACAAGGTTCAGAAATTAGCCCTTAGAATCTGGTCAACCGATTTTTAACAGATGTGCCAAGACAATTCAACAGGGACAGGTTAGTCTTTACAACAAATGATGGTGGGACAATTTAATATCCATATGCAAAATCCTTAGACACATACTTCATACCATTTATAAAAATTAACTCAAAATGGATCACAGACCTAAATGTGAGCACTAAAACAATAAAAGAAACCTTAGAAGAATAGGAGAAAGTCTTTGTGACCCTTTGCATAAAAGAAAGAACAGGTAAATTGGACTTCAACAAAATTATACACTTTCCTCTTCAAAAGACACCATTAATAACATAAAAATACAAGTTACAGACTAGGAGAAAATAGTTGCAAATGATCTATTTGATAAGGAACTTTTATTAAGAATATTCAAGAAACTCTTACAACTCAGCTGTAAGACAAATAACCCAACTAAAAAATGGGCAAAAGAATTGAATAGACATTTCGTCAAAGAAGAAATATAAATGTCTAATAAGAACATGATAAAATGCTCAATAGCATTAGTTGTTAGAAAAATGCAGAGACACAACTAAAACAGATACTACTACATATCCACTAAGATGGCTATCATCAAAAAAATTGGACATTAACAGGTGTGGGGATGGGTAGAAACTGGAATTCTCACACATTGCTAGTAGGAATGTAAAATGGTTCAGCCACGTAGGAAAACAACTGGGCAGTTTATTAAAAAGTTAAATATATACTTACCATATAACCAAGTAATTGCATTCCTAGGTATCTACCCAAAAGAAATAAAAACATATGTCCACACAAAAACTTATGCACAAATGTTCATAGCAGCATTATTCATAACAACTAAAACTAAAAACAATATATATATCCATCAATTAACGAATGGATAAACAAAGTGTTATCCATAGACTACAGTGTATCCATATAATGAAACAGTATTCAGCATTAAAAAGGAATGAACCACTAATACTCTATACACTAATATACTAATTAGTAATACACTAATACTCTAATGAACCACTAATGCTCTAACACAGGTGAATCTCAAAAGCATTATGAATAAAAGAATTTAGAGAGAAAACACTGCATTTGATTGCCTTTAGTCGAAGTTTCCAAAAAGGGCAAATCTATAGAGACAAAAAGCAGATCAGTGGTTGGCTGGGGATGAGTGGAAACTGACAAATGGGCACAAAAGAACTTTTTGGGGGTGACGAAACATTCTAAACCTGGACTTTGGTAATGACTACATGACTATAAATTTACAAAAAAAAATCTTTGAGAGGTACAACTAAACTGGGTAAATTTTATGGCATGTTATTATACCTCAAAAAAGCCTCATATACCTCTTAATTATACTTATTATTACAAAAAATAAGAAAATTCCACACACCTAATTTTAACCATCAAATTGCAATAACATTGTATTTAAAATGAAAGAGTG